CCTCTTTCTCTGTCCTTCCTTCTTCCCTCTCTCTCCCTCTCCTTCCTTCCTTGCTCTTTCTCTGTCCTTCCTTCCTTCCTTCCTTCCTCTTTCTCTGTCCTTCCTTCTTCCCTCTCTCTCCCTCTCCTTCCTTCCTTGCTCTTTCTCTGTCCTTCCTTCCTTCCTTCCTTCCTCTTTCTCTGTCCTTCCTTCTTCCCTCTCTCTCCCTCTCCTTCCTTCCTTGCTCTTTCTCTGTCCTTCCTTCCTTCCTTCCTTCCTCTTTCTCTGTCCTTCCTTCTTCCCTCCCTCTCCCCTTCCTCCCTCTCCTTCCTTCTTTGCTCTTTCTCTGTCCTCCCTCCCTTCCTTTCTCTCTTTCATCTTCCTTTCTCTCTTTCATCTTCCTTCCTACCTACCTGCACGCTTGCTGTCTCTCTCCTTGGCACTGATAAAACAGAGCGGGAACCAGACAGAGTAAGCAGGAACCCGCCGGCTGGCCTTCCAAGCAGCTTGGCCTGCTTCAGCCCATCAGCTCCTGTTGGGGTTAGGCTGAGACATAAAATGGGATCTTTGGTTGTCAGGAACAGCCGTTGCTGGCCTTGAGGTTGGGGGTCACTAAAGAAGGGCCACCGGGAAGACCTGTCCGGGCCAGCCAGGCCAGGATTCCATCGACAGCTTGTGAAGGCAGGGCTGTTTCCGTTTCGAAAAGGCACCGTTCGCTGCTTTTCTCCTACTCTGCAAGACCTTAAGAGTTGCTTTCTCTATTCCATCTTTAAATTAGAGCCAAGGCTTTGGAAATGCTGGATCCCACCCATCCTGATTTTTGCACTTTTGCCAGCCAGATCTAAGCTTGAGGATAGGAAACTGTGTACGAGTCAGAATTTTTTTTTAAAAAAGGGAGCCATTCATGGAATTTTTTGCTGTCTTGTTTCTTTCCGGTCCCTGTCCTCCTCCTCCTCCTCCTCCTCCTCCTCCCCCCCCCCAGCTGAAGTCCTTCCTGAAGGAATGCAAGATTGCCAACTATTGCAAAACCATCCGCCAGCTCTTGGAAAAACTGCAGGAGAACTCCGCGTATATCACCGCCAAGCGCCAGAAAGCTTCCTTTGGCGTCTCTAATCGGGAGGCCGTGGTGAGTCGGCTCTTTTCCCCGTTTTGCTCATTTTGGAAGGTGCATCCAACAGAAACACCTGCTTATGTCATGCGTCGAGAGAGGGAGGTTTATGCCAAAGCTTTTCCGAAACCATTTCGTTCTTGATTTCTGAACAGAACCAAACAGATAAAGTAGTTATAATGCACTTCCCCACACCATAGCGCAGCCCAACCACCATTAGAATGGTCAGTTAAGCTAAAAGGGAATTAAAAATTACAGGAACATGTGATGCGCATCACGATGCGTAGAAACTATACTTAGAGGTGTATAAAATCAGCTCGCTGGTGCCGCCTGATTAGAGGATTCCCAGAATCTCTTGCAGTTAGCCATCCTTGCTGGGGAGGGTGGGAGCAGAAGCCCAAAGGGGCCTTCTGGATCCCATTTCCCAGATGAATAACTGAGACCCAGTTCAGATCAGACATCATGGCTAAAGGAACCACTTTTAAGAGATCAGCAGTATTGGCTGTCCTGCATTTTCTCTTCTTTCCGCTTAGAAATGTGCAGCATGGAAGTTGCGATGGGTATAACGGGACCTTGCCCACCCACACGCACGCGATAGGCACAGCTTTTACAAGTCTTTCTCAGCATGGGTGCTAAAGTTAGAAGAAATGCTAGCGCAAGGAAGGAAGGAAATTAAAAACAGCGCAGTAAACAAAAATCAAGGGAAATCATCTTACTTGCCTGGTGCTCATTTGCTTGTTAATTTATCCCATTGATTTATTAGATGGACAGGTAGACCAGTTTAAGCATATGACCGTTTAGTACATTCCTGCGAACTAGTTCTCCAAAAAATCAGGGGCAATCCATGGAGAGTTTCTTGCTGAAACCAACATAGAGAGCTCCATCCTGGCTTGTTTAAACATGGTTTACTGAATAAACCACGTATAGCCAGGCCTGCAATAAGCGCTAAGTCAAACTCATACCCTTTTGTGGCTTAACAGCGATAGCATTAAATCAGGTTTAGAGAGAAAAGACCTTATCAGTAACAGAACATGAAATGACCTATGCAGCACGATATTTCTTAAATTTCCAATTTCTGGGGAAAATCTGGCTGAAATCCATTGATCTTAACCAGCTTTCCTCTTCAGTGGTGGTGTAAAATTGCCCAAAAGTCTATAAATAGCGCCCTTTTTAGCTCCTTGGCGCTGCCCTCTGCATTGGATCAAATTTGCATGGATTAAATACAAATTTTCTTTCTGTCCAGAAGTCCCATAAGCAGTTTTTTTCCCTCCCTGGAGTCATTTTGAACACTCATCTTGGCTTTTTCAGCCTCGTTTCAGTCTGCAGAATTGGAATAGGAATCTAGAAGACCCCTTGCACCCGAGGGGGAAAAGGGGAATGGTTGTGAACATTGGGAAGCGCTTGGTTGACACCACTCTTGTGTCTCTTTCTGGCCAATTTTCGACAGGAGCAATGGGAAAAAAATGTAAAAGAAGAAGGAACTCCGCTAATGACATATTATGTGACTTGGAAGAAACTGAGAGAGAAGGAGATACAGCTGGAGATCACTGGCAAAGAGCGGGTAGGAACAGAAGTCCCTAAATTTAGGCCATCTTGAGGTCTTAGCAGAGAAGAATGGCAGTTGGTGACCAATTGATGTATTGTTCCTTTCTGGTTAATTGGACTTGTCAGGGTTTAGTCCTAAGTAACCTGGCCTTGTAGGTTGGACAGGTTGGCCACACAATGATTGTAATCCAAGGAGTATTTTTGCCCCGGTTCCTATTGCAGCCCAAAGTGGGGAGATCCCCAACTTTTTCATCAAGCTGTAATCGAGCCCTTTCAGGCTGGAAACTTGCTTGGAAACTCCGCTCAGAAACTCTAGAAGAGGGATTTGTCACATTCTTTTGTGAAGGCTGTCATTGCTGGGGCCAAAGGATTGAAAAATGAAAGACAATCTGGCATTTTCACAGTCGCCCCACCCCTACCCAGAAATAAAACTCAAAATTTCTCTTTAGGATATTTTTTTCCCCCTCTTCACTATTTCAGACTCCATCCGTGACAATATTTTACTTCAGTGGTTGTGTTTTAACACTTGCTCATGTGGAACTCTGCCATATTCCCCTCTTTTCCAATCTGTTTTTTCCCCCTCTATATATCTAGTTTTTATGGCGTTTAAAAACATGCTTGCAATGGCCACATGTTTGCTCCTGCGTTGGAGCCAAATAGAGGCCATTGATGAGGCAGGAGAGATGTTCAGCTGGGTTTACTTCTTAATAGCGGTTTCCCTTTTTTTCTTCTTCTTTCCTTCCCTTGTTGCCTGTCTCAGCTGGAAGATCTAAACTTCCCTGAAATCAAACGGAAGAAGCCGAGTGAAAAGAAAGAAGACGACAACAGGGAGTTTAAGGACCTCTTTGAGATGGAGAGCAGTTCGGAAGAAGAGAGCTCGGATGTTTTTTCCCTCAAAGGTAGGAAATGTTTGGGGCAAGGAAGTTTCACAAAGTGCGTTGCCCTTTACTAACTTGCCACAAGCTTCAGGCTAGAATTTAAAAGAATTTAAAAGTGGGGGGAACCTTTCGGTCTGTCCCCCACCCATCCCTTCCATTGCAGAGCGCTTTCCCAGGAAGACTTTCTCTTTAAAAGTCAGCCCAGGGATGCACACATGTGCCTTGCAGGGCCGCGGTGCTTCCAGAATCCTTTTTAAGCCCCAAGAAAAAAATTCATCTTAAAAGCATAAATCTACAAAGTGGGCCAAGAACTGGGTGTGAGATCTTTGAGCTGATAGCACTGCTGTGATTTTATTCATTCCTTCGTTTATTCAGTCGGCTGGGCTCCCGGTGGTTAACCCCGAAGTATACGAATCATACCCAGTTAATGTTATCATTTACATCCCCGGTAAATAAATGATGAACCGTTCATGGTAAGAAACCGATTAAGAAAAGAATAATAACTGAATTAAGCAACAACCTTTAGGAACGTAAGTAGCCTCAAAAATCAACCAACCATCAGCTGCCTGAGCTGAAGAGATCATCTTAGTCCACACATGCTTCTCGGAAGAGCTCCGTTTCTAACATCTCGTCGGAAAATGCATCTTTGACCTCTTTTTTTAAGTGACCTTTTATCAGGCCGAGCAGTTCGGCAAATTTATCGTAACCTGCAGAGGGACCATTTGGAATCGCTGTTCAATGAGCGCAATAAATTTGATCGATTGATCGGGGCAGTTTGATACAATCACTGCCGTGCAGGGTAGAGCCTCAGTATTCAGCAGATTGGTAAAAACCATTTTTTTAAAAAAATTTCCTCATTGCAATTTGTATGGCTGCCCTGCTCAGCGAGTGACTCTGGGTGGCGACCAAAATTAAAGTAAAAACCGTGGCAGTAATGCAAGAATTAAAATGCATAGCAACTGAGAAAATATCATATCCCATAACCAAGAAACGAGTCCTTGGATAAACCACCATCGCAGTTGATTATCAGGGAAAATGTTTGAAACTGACAAGGATTTAAATTCCACCCCCACACTTTTGGGGGTGCTTTCCTGAGATTGAAACAACTCTTGCCGAAACTCTTTCAGACTCAACATGATGACGGTTGAAATGGGGCATTTCGTATCCAAAATGCAAAGTTTCAAACTTGAAACGGTTCGATTTTAGAATGCGTTGCAGACCCCTAATTGTTCCTATTTTTTGAAAACATGCACCTTCCTTTCTCTGCCGTGTTTCTCTTTCTCCTCTCACAGACTAGAACAGGTTTCTTCCAGCTTGGTGCTTTTCAGCTAGGGCTGGCGTGCAAATTATATGCAGGCTTAACCCATTAATAAAGAAAAATTTGCATATTTAATCAGCAAAGGCCTCTTCGGAGGGCAGGAGGCGTTATGCAGCCCCGGGCCGGCCCAGTCTGGATGGTCGGTCAGTAACAATTTTCCCATGAAACCCCCCCAGTCAGAGGTGGGGGGGGGGGGGGGCAGATAACTTGTCTGTGAGCTTCCCAGGGGAATTTGCACATTTCCTGCAGGACAAAGCAAGTGAGGTGTGTTCTTCCTTGAAATTTTCCCCAATGCTGTTTTGATAGGTAGGTAGGTAGATAATTTTAAAGCTTTGCCGCACCCGATTCCACAAGCCTTTCCCGTAGACTTTTGAAGGACTGATGGAGGCGTTGTCATCCATTCCTGGGTGCCTCGCTGTCTCCGCAGTCCTGAGATGATGGGGGGGGTGCATCTGTGCCCCGAAGCAAAGTCCCAGCTGGGTTTTCCCCTTGCTTTGACTTCTGCGCGCAGCAGGTCGTAGCCGAGCACGTCGTCTCCGTATTCCTCAACAGGCAATCTGGTTGCGCCTCGGTGGGCTGCTGATGTTGTCAGTTTTTTCTTTTCCTTTTTGGAAGGCAGCTGCCAAGACGGGTTTTCCCAGGAGGGAAGAGGCGAGGGAAGCTCTCTAGGTGGGTGGTGATGCTTCTGGAGCAGACGAGCCACCTTTGGTGGAGGAACAGAAGGCGCTGTCACATCTGGAAGTCTTCCTTTCTCTGCCAGGCTGCCCTCAATCCGTCGGGTGGGTGGAACCGAGCCGGGAGGGCCTCGGCGTGCCACGTTACGCCTGGGGAATTGGGAGACGGGACATCATCTAAAGCTCTTTGGTTTCTTTAACCAACGTTCCTCGGTGGGCCCAACTTCCTTGAGCTTTCCAAGTTCGAATGTTCAAGAGGTATAGAAGCTTGACTTTTCTTTTAAGGGCCGTAAGGCTAGTCAGGGTTCTGAGTCTGATTTGGAATTCACCTCCTTTTCTTCCTTCCCTTCATCACGTCCCAAACTTCCTAATCATTCTGAAATCCTTTAGCATCCCCATCGCCTTGTTCTTAATGTTTTTACTTGGGAACCGCCCCGGTTTGCTGTATAAATCACCGCTGCGTCCCTGCGTTACACAGAGGCAAGACACGAGTTCATTCAGGTGTCCCATAATCTCTGAAACCAGCCAGCATATGGTCCAAGTTGGGCAAGGGGTGTGTAAAACAGACAGCAGTTAATGGAGGCTGCCTGTCGCAGCCCTTTGTGAGTCTGTGTTTGGAGACTACCTGCCCAGAAAGGATGAGGGGACTGGGATTAGAAAAACATCTTGCATGGACAAGCTTGGCTTAGCTGCATAAAGGCCTGAGCTGATGCAAAGGGCCAGAAATTTGGGACCTGGGATCCCAGAGGTGACATTCATCTTGGAACTTAAAATGGGAGATGGTTGGGGGGCATTTTGTTAAGGAAGTGGGGCAGTCTCTTGGCTGCAGGAAAAATTCCCCAATATAGGGTTGGGGTTGGGGCAAGGAGAGGACGCAGGCTCCCCCAATTTTGGAAATCGCGTTCGCCTCTTGATAGGCCAGATTGTGTTCAACCTGGAGGCACAGCTCTTCCCTGTTTGGCACAACGTGTTTCCTATTTATGCTATCGCTTTTCTTCCTTGCCTGTGTGCAGATGAGTGGAAAATAAGCCGTTAATAGCTAGGAAATTACCAATTTTCTGTTAATTAGCAGCAGCTCGCAACCCCTCTTCTTCTTCTTCTTTTTTAATTAAATATTGCCATAGTTAAGCACTCATTAGCGTTTTATAGCAACCCTAATCTCGGCGGAATAAGTTGGTCTGGAGAAGGCAGCCCCAGTCCTCAATGGCTGCAGGCTTGGAAGAGTGGCGTCGCGCTTTGCCTGGAGCTGAGTCGATGCTCCTGCAAAACAGGTCGGTTCACCTTTACCTGCTCCCTCCCAATCAAAAAGATGAGTGGGGGGTGCTGTGCAAATGCCCCCCCCCAAGTTAAAGCACCGGTTTTCAGACCTGATAAGTTTGGGAGAGTGAAAGGGAAAAGGTTGGCACCCTGCAGAAGCGTTGGACGGCAACTCCCATCATCCTCGCCTTGGCTAAGGACCCTGGGATTTGAATTCCCAAGCTTCTGTAGGATGAGTAGCGAAAGTAGACAGAACAATATTTTTCTCTGTCTCTCATTGGGCTGGCATTTGGGGTCAAACCTATTGTTAAATAGAATTGGGGGAAGGTGGGGACGTAGTAATTTCCAAGGGGTACATTTGTTGGCTGTGGGAATCCCCTGCCACAAGATTTGGTCGGGTTGCCCTCTTGAGTAGCTCTCAGATGGGGTTGGAACAGGTGGGAAGTCTTAAGAGCTACACATCACCACCAGGACGAAGCAGCTCTTTGTAGTGGGTGAGAGAAAGTATCCCGTTGCACGTACAGGTAGTCCTTGTTTAGCGACGGCCTCATTTAGTGACTGTTTGCAGTTACAACAGTGATGAAAAAGTAACTTTACAACCACATTTACAACATTCGCAGGTCTGTAAAGCAAAGGAAAGCTGAAGTAAGATCATAAGCATAGTCACGGTTTCACTTAGCGATCGCTTTGCTCAATGACCAAGTTGCCAGTCCCAATTGTGGTCGCTAAACGAGGATTAGCTGTATATCTTCCATGTCTGTGGACTAAGTAGGTGTTTGAGCTGATGCAGAGCTGCTGCTCCTAAAGATCCCACCTGGGCTCTTTGGATAAATGCTATTTCTGTTGCATTCCCCCCACACCCGAATTTGTGTGGGCCCCACCCTCACGGCTGGCAAGCTATGGCTGTTTACAGTTGACTGCAAAGGATGAACCCATCCCTTGTGGCTCGGTCAGGAAGCCATACTTAAAATAAATCGTGGCTTAACCATGGCTCCGAAAGCGTTGGCCTTCCTTCGCCTCCCCTCCATGCGGCGTCGCGGCGGAGCGTTGGAGCCACGCTATGAATACAAGCCGGCTGCGAGAGGTGACTTGGCTTCTTCGGGAGAAACAGGGCAGGAGGTCAAGGAGCCGGGCGCCCCCGTCCCGAGGCCCCCCTCCGCCTGTGTTTCCGAGAACGGGGGTCACCCTCCTGCCTGCCAGATTTGATCAATGGCTCGTCTGCAGCCACCACAGAGAGAGGCGACGCCGCGCATTCCTCTCATTTACCGGCTGACGAGGCTCCGGGAGGGGAGTCTGCGGCTGCCCGCGGTTATTAATGGGCTCGGGGTCTGGTGGCGGATTGCCGTGTCAGGAGGCAATTAAAGCCGCTGGAGATCCGCTCGGCCGGCACACCGTCTCCCCAGACCCTGCCCGTAATGAGCGATCTGTCCGCATTAAGCGACGGCACACGTCTAATGAACTTTAGCGGGTATCCAGCGCGTAATCACATTACGCCAATTGAATGCGGGGACGGGAAGGGGGCTCGGAGTGACCGGAGCGGGTTGGGGAGGAGGGAAAAGCCACGATGGGAGTGGGTTTCTCGGCCACGCACGGTGGGGCCCCTGTCCCGAGCCCCCTTAGCCTTCCCTGCACGTAGTGGGGGGGTTGGAGCTGGCAGGCTGGCGTGATCCTTTTAAGGAGTAATTAGCCAGTCCTGCCCCCCCTCCCCTAAATGTCAGCAGGGGCGCAAGGAAGGGGGCGGCCGAGGAAAATAGATGATGCAATCAGCCGAGGATTATGTCCCAAATTTCCCTTGGGGACTTGAAACTTGCCTTTCTGGGTTTTGCGCCTTCTGATTGAGCGGGGTGGGGGTCTGTAGAGGGGAATAAAAAAGCAGCTGAAGGCCAGGAATTGCTGTTCGGGGGGTGGTTTGGGTCCCCCTCTTCTAACTGGGTTGAAGTAACTTAAAATGCAAGCGCTTTTCTCCCATAAATGGGTCCCTGAGAGTTCATGCGTGAGATTGGCGTTGGCATCGCCCTGCGTCTTTTAGGGGGCTTGGCGCTCATTTTGCACGCTTCCTTGACACATGCTAAGGGAGGCTGACAGGCCCAGTCTCGGCACCGAGTTTTTGTTGAATTTTCCCTGCTTTGGACACGCCTAGGGCCTTCCTGAATCCCTTCTCAGCTGAAAAGGCTGCTTAGCGTAACAGCTGCATCTACGGGATGAGTTCCCAAAACCAGGCCCGGGTCGTGCAAAGGGCATTGGGAAAATGGCGGGGAGGGGGCTCCCTTTTACGTGTAATTCTGGCCAGTTTAGGGGTAGGGCTTGGTGGGCTGTGCCTTAAAGGGTGGGAGTTGACTTTTTAGCCGTGCATCCTGAAACTCTTGTATTCTGGGGTGGGGGGAGCTTGCACCCCAAGTGATTCGGGATGAGTGTTTTGGGGCGAGGACATTCTCCTTGTAGAGAAAAATGGGTGACAGGCTGGTGGTAGAGGAGGAAGGAGGGGGGAGGGAAGCAGGGAGAATTTCCCATCTCCCCCCCGCCCCCCGCCTTGCTGCACCTCCAGTAATAGCTCCATTGTTAAAGTGATTAATAAATCCT